ATCCTTTGCCTTTCATGTAAAGTCACCTCTGAGCCGTGGGTGACAAGGATACCCATATGCCCTGAAGATGCTGATTCCATGGAGGGGAAAAGAACACAGAAACCACGTGCACCCCAAAGTGTGCTGTGATGGCACTGTGTGCAAATGGTGCTGCAGGCCCAAGATGGCAGGTGGGGGCCATTGAGCTAGACCCCAGGATGAGGAAGAGCCTGCAGGTGGTGAAGGAGTATGGAGGAACGGAAAGGGGCCTTTCACAACTAGCCAATCTTGCCTAGGGATCATGGGCTTTGGGGTTGGCTGGAGCAATGAGTGGTGGTCAGGGATGTGGCCAGATTGTGATGAATCCTGGAGCCACACTCACAAAGTTGGAGTCACTGGAAGGAAACTACTGAAGGTGTGTGAGCACTTGCCTAGATAGCCATAGACCAAGCAAAACCCTGCTTTAGTGTCTTTGGTGGTTCGAATGAAATTGGCCCCCATAATCTCATAGGGAGTGGCACTAATAGGAGGTGTGGCCTTGCTGAAGGAAGTGTGCTGTTATGGGGGCGGGCTTTGAGGTTTCCTATACTCAGGATACTGTGAAGTATGTCAGTCGACTTCCTGTTGTCCGCAAGATGTAAGACTCTCAGCTATTTCTCCAGCACCGTGTCTGCCTGCATGTTTCCATGTTCCCTGTCATAATGATAATGGATTGAACCTCTGAAACTATAAGCAAGCCACCCCAATTAAATGTTTTCTTTATAAGAGTTTCTGTGGTCATTGTGTCTCTTCACAAAAATAAAAACCCTAAGACAGTAGTATCTAAATAGTCATTGACTGGGCCCAGATTGGAGGTAGCAGTGGGATCGGCAGAGAATAGTCCTATTCCCCGGGCCAGGTCTTGCTCACCTCAAGTGAAGGTAGGCAGATAGAAGAGCACTAAAGGCTTTGGCTGCATACTCCTCCAATTTGGAAAATTACCCACCAGCCCACATTCACTAAGCCAATGTGATCCAGTCCTGATGGGCAATATTTGTCACCCACTGTCCTGAAGAAAGGATCATTTCTTTTTCACCTAAGAGAGTAAAGGATTTCAGAAGATTCCTATGATATCAGTGTCTCTGAGTATGGAGGGAGGAGACTATGTTCAGATTTCCTTTTGTCTCCAAGACAAAGGCAATAATGTGTAGAGGTCAATGGTTCAAATGCTGGACACCAAGCAGGATTGGAGGAGTCTGCCTCCTGGCAGGGGTTTACGCTTAGAAAACCATGTGCTCAAGGAGAACACAGGCCCAAGGTAAGGTGGGATTGGGGGTTGGTGAGCAGGTCTCCTGCCCCACACTCTGATTTGAGCCCCTGTGCTTCCTGCTATTCCTGGGCACTGAAGTAAGACTAGCTTTGGGAAAGAGATGTACATGAAGGAAAGTGGTAACCACGAAGCTTTGTCCAATAGGCAAGCACAGAGCAATACACTATGTAGGATGTGAGGGTGTGTATAACTACTCTAAAGCTCGTGGAGCTAGCATACTGTTCAACTCATCCAGCTACTCCTGCCTCTTGTCTTCAATAAATAGTATTTTTCTTTTCATGTCTGCTTCTTACTCTTGGATCATTAAGTGTTTTGTTTGTTTTTCTTATCCCTTTGCCCTTTACAGTAATGTCCTGGGAAATCCAAACTGTTAGAAACCCCCCCACACACACTTTCTAAATGTGACTTCTGAATGAGGCTTGCCCTTGAATCTCCCCACTTTCATTCTTTGAAATGTGGACCCCCACCCACATCCAGACAGACTCCTAATCCACCTCTGAGGAATCCACCCCTGTGAAGATGGAACACACCCAGCTTTAATTCTTACCTCAGGACTTTAGAGGACTAGAGCTGGGAAGCGCTTGGTGTCCCGAAGGATGTTTCTTTCCATTTTCATGGTGACAAAAAGACATAACATAAGACTTGCTGTTCTGACCACAGATAAATGTCTGACTCTGTGGTGTTAGGTACACCCCAAGAGTCATCCTTGCCAAAAGCTGAAACTTTACACCCGTTAAACATGGACTCATCTTCTTTCCCAGCCCCCAGTTCTTTGACGTGCTCTCTGTGCCTGTGAATTTGTTAGTGGGGGTGTTTTGTATAAGTAGGACCACACGATCTTTGCTCTCTTGTGATTAGCTTCTTAGAAGTTGAATGATTCCCTTGTTGTGGCATATATGAAAGCTTCATTCCCTTTATACATAGATGATATTCCATCATGTTTATTCCTTGCTCTGGCCAGGGAAGAAAAGCTTTTTCTTCCTGCACTTCAGGCACCAGTGGCGACCCCCCGAATGAGGTGTGGATTTCACTGTAGTGTCTGTGCTTCCCACTTTGCTAACCATGCTTGGAAGTGGCTCTTCATATACCAATGGGCACAGTAACTCAGGGCTTCTTTCAGTCAATGTGCGGACAGCAACAGTTGCAATGTAGCTCTTTATCTGAACTAAATACTCACCTATATGGGGTCTTCTCTGCTGTCCAGAGAGCAGTAGGCATGTGGGCCCTAATTCTTCTGGTTTCTTATATTCCACAAGCCCATCAATGTCCTGAGAAAGCAGCCATGCAGTGTCAGGCAGAGCAGACCTCAGGAAAGGTTTAGTGACATAGAAGGAATGTATGAGAGAAGACCCATAGAGCATGGAACTAAAGCGTTCTGCCTCTTGGTCTCTCGGCTGGAGAATAGACAGAAGACTGTAAGACTTAGAGGTCGGGGTGAATGGTGCTTATGTTATGAAGCGATCTAGAACGCGGCATGCTGTGTGAAGTGGGGATATTGCGCTCATTGGGCAGATGGGTAGACTCATACGTGGACGAGTGGGAAGAAAGGCACGTGCATGCATAGTAGTTGGATATGTGGGCGGGCAAGTGATAAAAACAAAAGCAATGAGTATTTATGAGTATATGGAAACACGTGAAACCTAGTGGTACCTACCCAACTTGGATTGGTCCCCTTTCATTTTCTCTTCATCACACCTCCAACTGAGTGAGATTCTGTGGAGGGTGAGGGAGTATGGATGGGAGTGGAATTGTAGAGGTTTGGGGGAGCATGGATGAGCATGGAATGATCACCCAGTGCTGAAATGCAGCTCTGAGCTACTCTGGGGTGGAGGGTGGAGATGGACTGAGTGACTGACAGCTGCTTCTCCCACCATCTTCAAGTTATAGTAGCGCCCTCTGTAACCTGCTTTTCCCTTCAACATTCAGTCAGACCTCTGTTCTAACCCAGAACCATCTGATAGGAAGATGGTGACACTACCATTCAGGCTAGAGCGGTACTGCTCCCTAGAACAGGGCAGTCGCATCTGCAGGACAACTTTCTGGTGCTAAAATAAGTAGGAAGTAAAGGACCTGAGGTGTTGATTAAACCTGACTGACCCATCCACACCCTCCCATTATCACTGCCTGCTTGAGGGCTTCAGCAGCATGTCGGTTGGTAGTTCTTAGACTTTAGAGTGTCTTAGACACCCCTGGAATTGTGTAGATCACACATTCCTAGGTACTGTAGCCAGATGCCTACCTTAAGCAGGTCTGGGTGGGGCCTAGGATCTATGATTTTTAACATTGAAACCTCAAATTGTTTTGCCCAGGACTACTCACGGTGAGCCTGATGCTCCCTGAATGTATAGGGATGAGAACAGTAACAAGATGCACTGGCCTTCTGTTCTGGTCTAGTTTTCCACTGGCCCCAGAGCCCCTGGCTCAGAGTACCCCCCACATAAGGCCTTCATGGGAGGTGGCAGGCCTTCATGGGCAGTGGTCCTCTCTGGTATGTGGCTTGTGTGTGTGTGGTCCCGGAGGTCTTCAGTGAACTCTCCTTAGCCTAGTAGAGGAGGGGGAAATGGGTAATAGGATCCTGAGCTGTGTGCCTCCTGGAGGCTGTGAACTGGCCTGGCCTGCTTTGTGACTTGGGGCAGACTGTTACTGGTGTCTTTTGGCTCCAAGAGGAGGCAGCGCGAGGCTCCTGCAAGGATGAGCAGTGGGGCATGAAGGCAGCCAAGCAGTCTCTAGCAGGTACTGCCACCAGTGTACTGGGGTAGGGAGAGGGAAACAGTGGGTAAGAAGGAAGACATGTGAGCACCAGGAGTCGGCTCTATTGAGTGTGGTTAGGATAAGAGCTGCATGCTAAGCACCAATCTTCTTTCTAGGTGTTAGAGGAGAAAAGGCAATTCTGCCCCTTGAGAAAAAAAAGCAAGCTTTTATATTCACTACCTAGTGCCTGCTCAACTCCTCGTAGGTTGCTTTCTTCTGTTCACCTACAATGTGTCCTTGGACAGAGAGCTATTTTCCCACAAGAGAGATCTCAAATGTCTGGAACCACATATTACCTCTCTTGGGACTACTGTTGACACCCTCAATGTCTTTGGGGCAGTGTTTTTGTTTTTATTTTGGATGTCACCTAGTCCCCTCACCAAAGCCAGCCTGCTGCCCTTGGGGCTAGGACTCAGCTCACCCGCTTCTCAGCAGCCCTGCTGTCCTCGTATTATTCCCCTGGAGATCAAGACTATATGAGTTCTCACTTTAGAAGGCGCAGCAAAATGTTAGCTGGTTAAATGAGACTTTGGAGGTAGAAGACCAATGTGAATTTTTGCATTGCCTTAATTTATATTTTAACAGTGGTGGCATTTGAAAACAACAAAACTCTTCATGCTCCATGAGCTGGAGCTCTGTTGTTGGAGCGGGCTGTGGATTTCCTCAGCTTGCAGGCTGCATGTCCAGCCCTCTCCCACCTGTGCTCACCATTGCTGGCCACAGCATTGCATTCTGGGAAGCATATCACCAGGCCATTTTGTCACTAAGCAAACATCACAGTGTACTTTTACAATGACACCTGTGAGATTACAGGCCATGTGCTCTGTTGGGACCACACTGAGCACTCTGTGTATAGCAGGCTGAAGCTGAGTGTAGCTGTGAACTCTGCTGCTTCTGAACTTCCTTCCCAGATCCCGAAGTTGATGACTTATTTTTCTCTCTTTTCTATTTTGTTTCCTAGGAACGAGTGGAATATCTCTTTCTCATCATTTTTACCGTGGAAGCATTTTTAAAAGTAATTGCCTATGGACTTCTCTTTCACCCCAATGCTTACCTCCGAAATGGTTGGAATTTACTAGATTTTATAATTGTGGTTGTAGGGTAAGTGAAGAAATTTTGTTCCTTTTCCTAACTTTACCCTGCCCCCCCATGCCTCTTTCTCTATCTATTCCTACTTCTGATTTGATCTAACTGAACGTGCCTTCGGGCACAGTGAAGGATCTGTTCAAAATCACTTTGAATTCAGACTGTCTCCCAAGAGAGAAATTATAAACTTAAAACCTCTCCCACAGGTCACTTTTGTGTGCATAAACATGCTTATGCAGAGACACCCATGTGTATACACATGAAGACAGAAAAGTGTGCATTTGCATACACGCACATACACATACATGACTCTGCGTGTTCAGGATCAGCACTCTGCAGATGAGGAGAGCCTTTATGTTTAAGGACTTTTATTCACCTTTCAACCCATATCTGACCATTTCTCTGCTATATTCCTGAGCCACTACTTAGCCTGCTAGTACATGCAGTCTATGAGTGAGTTGGGGACATGTTGGGAGCATGCACTCTGCTGCCAGACTGTGGAGGACACACATGCGTACCACCCATCCTCACCTCCACAGAAGGCTTTGTGCTGCAGCTCCAGAAAACCGGAGATAACTGGGTGCAAAGCACTGTACAGGGAAGTCTGAAAGGTGGAGGTAATGGATAACCAAACCAAGGCCAGATACACCCTTCCCCAAACGTGCCTCTCTGCAACAGTGTGTTGGGAATCTAAACAAAAATTGGAAACCACTGAGAATAAGAAACTGAGAGCTCAGTCCTAAACGGGATATCTAGATCAACCCCATAACCAACAACAACACCCACCACCAACACCACCGCCACTGCCACCATGATTTAAGGAACATTGTCAAGGGGGGAAGAATGAATGTAAGAGTTAGAGGAAGAGGAGGAGTGCTGTAGTTTACTGTCCTGTGGATATGACATGGCTGTACCACTCATGAACTCATGGCAACTATCATTACCTGCACAAGAACAAGCAAATACCAGCGTAGATGGGGCCAGTGACCTCCAGGTCCCATGCCTTACTGAGCAGTTAATAGCTGATGGGAGAAGGACAATTATTCTTTTTTGAGGATGTGGGCACTGTAAGTTTTCCATGCTCCGGTGGATAGACCTACACTCCTACACATATGGGTAGTACTAACTGGACTCAGTGATTTATAAATGAAAATACATAAAGTTAAGAGGGAAATATATTGGAGGAATATGGGAGAGCTGGAAGAGTAAAGCAGGGACATGTATAATTATATGTCATTGTATATATGTATGAAATTCTCAAAAATTAAAATTATAAAAATAAAAAAACAAAAGCTCACATTGTTCTAAGTTTTAAAAATTGGAAGCATGATTAGTAAATTCTCCAGACAGAAACGACCAGTGTCTCTCCTGACTAAATGCCAGAAATGTCCTCGGTATTCTTTCTGGCTTCATCAGTGCCAGAAGATGATGATGCTGAGTGTGTTTGGGGAGCTCTGATCTCTAGCTGGTTCCTAAAAGATTCTAGGGTAAAGTGGGAAATTACCAATACGGAGCCAAGTAGAAATATAAGGGTATTTAATAGGGAAAAGCCTTACTTACAGAGCGACCTAGCCAGCCGGCATGGCATCAGTCTGTATGCAAGCTGAAAGGGCTGAAAACTGAAATCAAAACTCAGCCAACTCAAACTCTTACTCTACATCACCCTGACCACGCCCTCGAAGGTGTGGTCAGACAGACCTGTAGGCAGCTCCTAAGCAGGCGTGGCTACAGGATCCCCTACACTAGGGTCACCCCTTTAGGAAGGTGCAATGTGAAAGTGGTAATGAAGGCCTGTTAAGAGAAAACTCACCTTGGCATGAGTGGAGACTGAACATTCCAATGGGATCAGGCCAATGCTGTGGCCAAGGGACCACCCCTGGGAGGCAGGCTCACTTTAAACCATGCTGGTGAAATAGTTGGAATAATTAATTCCTTGTGCTGAAGGACTAACTCAGGCATGCTGAGTCAACCATTACTAAACAGGCACTCCCCCTCGCTATTGCAGTTTCTTTCTACAAGATAGGCTAGAAAAAAAATAGTGCCATCTTAATTACTTTGAAGAAGAACAATGGCCCAAAATGAGAAGAGGGATTTGTAAGAAATGTCTACTCTGAGTTTTTTCTATCAAATACTTGTGTTTTGTGGTAAGGAATTCAGATTTTTTAAAATCTTCCCCAAGTTGTAAAACTTTTAGGCAAATGTTTTCATCCCACCCGACCCCCAGCCTTTGTTTACACAAAAACCTGCTACATTCTTGATTAAAAAGTCTGACCCCTCCCCGATTTATTTCCTGTGCACCTCCTTCTTTTAAGACCCGCCCCTCTCACTGAGGTCAGTCCCCAAACAATGGGAAAAGACACAGTCACCACCTACATTAGCATGAATACCAAGTGTCCCTCCCATCTCTCTCTCTCCCTGTGTTTTGCTTTTCAGAGCTCACCCTCTTGACCAGGAGTGAAGTGTTGCCTTGTTCAGACACTTAAAAAATAGAGAAGTTAGAAAATTTCCCCAAAAGATTCTCCATAAAATACCTGCTCCTAATGGGCCTACATATATGAGTGGTGGATCCAGCCATACTTGAGTATTTTGAGAATGGAGCTACCTTTACAGCAGCTCCCACCCCAACCACATGCCAGCTCCTGTGAGCTGGCACCACTGGAAGCCTGGCAGTCACTTCCAGGGCAGCCACTCTGCCAATTATTTTTCCCGAGTCTGGCAGGCTCTGGTGCCAAGTGCAGGATGTCAGGAGGCTCTTATCCCTGGAGCTTATTTTTGGTGAATCCTTCGTGCTGTCCTTGTGGAGAACCAGGCCATGGTGGCTTCCCCAGAGCACCTGTTGCTCATTATTTTCAGGAGCATCTAATTGTTTGTCAGTGCAGAAAATAACACAGGAGCAAAGGCGGTCTTCCTGTTGATTTCCTTGTCCTTGGCCATCCAGACAGCTCCTAAAGGTTGAGATTTTCTTTCTGTCTGTCTCACATGGTTTGGTTAGTGAATGATGTACTTTAGCCACATGAACATTGGGTAAACTCAAGAGAAACAAGGAGCACTGAGGTCATTAGTCATTAGCCAGGTCTAGATCTGGTTCAAAGATTGGGGAAGGATGCATTTTTTGACTCTTGCCAAAGTAAACTAAGGCCTGACTGAGCTGAGAACACCTTAGCAGCTATCTCAAAGGTGAGTTATTCTCAAACCTCTAAACCTTTTGGAAACTTTGCATCTTTTTCAAGGTCCAAGTGTCTTGGGATCCCATGACACAAGCAGAAAAGAACCAATGCTTGGGGGCACAGTGGAGGCTCTGGAACCTGCAGGGACCCTTTGCTTTAGGTAGACACTGCATTCCAATGCTTATCAAAGGTGCTGTGTAGAGGGATTTTTCTTTGGGCTGCCAGCTCTCTCTCTCTCTCTTTCTCTCTCTCTCTCTCTTCTCCCTCTCCTCTCTTCCCTCCTCTCT